GTATGATTTGAATCAGTCAAAAGCACCTCAGATAGAGCACTACTCATCCAATGAAATAAGTAAGGCACTTCCCCTACACTACCATCTGCTGGACCAGAGGTTGTACGAAGGTTGGATAGCGCAATCCGTCGGATAATTTCATTGGATAACAGCATCGACTTATCCACTGCATAAGGATTTATCCATTGAATTGCGCTACCTACTTTCGTACAACCGAGCCTAGGCGAAAGAAAACAAAAGACTTTACAGTAAATCGGATAGGGCGATTTTGGCCCTATAGTGGCCTCCTTAAAGTAGGGCTATTTTGACACTACCGGTAGGGGCAATTTTTTTAGCTCTGATTTTGGAACTGTTTTAGTCCCTTATATGGATTTTCCCCCTGATTTGGCCTTGTTGAGGGGGCCAAAACAGTACTGATAGACCCATACCGAAATGGCTTCTTCAAATTAGCACTACTTTGAAAAAGCCAAAATGGCTCTCTGGGGYCAAATTGGTCCTCTCAAATTTACTCCGTTGACCCAACTGGCATCAACGTTCACCCTACAAGTTTACAAAACCAGGCAACACGGGACTCTATCACTATATCAACACGAACCTTGGTATCTCTGCGTTTTTTATCCACCGTTGCATACACTACCTCAATTTGGCTGTTTTTTTTATTAGTCTTTTTGGACTTATCAATCATGGCATAGACCACCGGTTCTCTTGAAACTTCGTGATGGGGACTTGGCACTTTAGGTGGTTTTACGTCTTCACTTTCTTCTGGTTTCTTTTGTTCGACCTCTACACTTGAATACAAAGACGCATATGTTGAAGTGGAACTGGGGTCGACTGGTGATGTATAATCCTTGTTTAAAGAATCTTCCGTCAGGGCGTCTTGTGCAGGGTTTTCGAGTCCCGCCGAGTTTTCCATTTCCATTTCCATTTCCCTGTCAGTTTTGTTGCTGTCATCCTCGACTACTGTTTCTGTTGGAGGTTCGGTTTGTAACGGCGTTGCACCTTCTTCCAGTCCTAACAAAGTCCTTGATATACAAAAAGTTAAGAATTCAGATTAAGATTCCAGCTCTTGGAATCCGGAATCCAGCATCATTACGGGTTCCCTTACATGGGGCGATATAAATGATAACACGTACATTAWTGTGAGCGGCCGATATGCATGGGCATTTACACTGCCTGGTACACCGTTGTAAAGCCCATACARATCTGACAAGCTTGGACACGAATATAGTATATTATAGTTAGCAAATTTCTAGGAGGATAATCGAATTGCTAAATATTTTTTTAAATATGAGTTTTTCACTATCATGTTTCAGTCAAATCCAACTAGTGGTCTATCATCAATGCTGCGTTCTGATTGGATGAGCTATACTACTAGGCCATACTAGTAGCGAAAAGTGCCGGCTTTGAAAACCAAAACATTAAATTTAACTTTAATTCAAAACTTGTTTGCATCTACATATTTGACGGACTAGTTGGATTTGACTAAAACAATTAGTCCTCATGCCCTATGAGTCAATAGCCCATTCAGGTTCGCGGACTAATTGCTATAAATAGTTAAATAATGCGCATGCGAATGTGGTTTTTTTTTTCATGGTTTTAAATTAATTCAGTRTAATTTGATAAAAAGATGAGAATATGTGGACCGCGTAGCACTTATGAAATACATGAAGATATAGAAATATAGATAAGTTATAGTGCTTGGGAACGAGGTTATTCCGTGCGAAAGCCCTTGGAATTAAATTCGGAAAAATTAATTTCCGACCTCGCTGGGGATCGAAAACACGACCTTCGGAGTTGTACTACCGATGCTGCACCAGCTGAGCTAGAGGTCAGACTGAGAGCATAATTTAATAAAAGAGTATAATTTGATAAGTTAGCCTAAGATTATAACTGCAATTTCAAGTACGATGGCCCGATACTTACCGATTTTTGAATTTAAAGGTTTTATATTCTTGACATCCATTTGAAAAACCTATCAAAAATGTAAAAGAGTTTTCGTTCATTGTTAGTAGTGGTACTTAGATTTGTCTGAACTGTATAGTACGACAGAGCGGAAAAACGACAAGGCTGCTACTTTCGCGATTTTTTTTCTTTGTCTCTCATTCATGTTTAAAAACGTTTAGTGTGTTTCATTTGTGTCTCTTGTGCTTTAAACTTTTCACAAAATTCTGCTAACCTCGAGCAATTCTACTTCGAGGTATTAGCAAAAATGTTAGTTTTTGTGCTGATCAAAATATCATCTCTCCCAATGTTCAGGGCGTTATATCTCAAATACGCATTCCTTAAGTTTCCCCAAATTTTGGTATTTTGTTAATCAGCCCCAAAAGAGCTTGTTTATGAAATATAAAGCTTGTTAACGCATAAAAGTCGAAAGTAGAACCCGTTTTATGCCCTGTCGTATAGTACATCATATATCATTCCAATCTCTCAACCTAGATCAACGACTAGTATGAAACTCTACTGGGAGGAATCTCGGGAGGAATAGTATTTAGACTGATTATAAGAAAACTCGAGCAAAACCGAAGGGAAAAGTGAGTCGGCCCTGCCCCTAGACCTTATAAGATAAACTTCTTGCTGTCTGCAATTGAGCCACAACTGTTTTGGGTGTACGTTTAAATCAAATATTCCAATATTTACCTGAATTTCTGTTTTTACAATAAAATATGTAGATATAGAAAACAATTCCACCGGCAAGTAGGATTCCCAAAGCAATGACTACATAAAGTAGGTTGAACCGATCAGGATCAGGATCTGATATAGTACATACTGTTGTAGTTACTGCCCTTTCCGTTGGTTTCGTTTTATGTTCGCAAAAGAATATTTTCGAAGAATTGCACTTGTAATTTCCTAAAAAAAATACGATAGGGATGAGAAGTACCAAAGCATTGAATGATCAAGGAGGAGGAGAGAGGAGAAAAGAGGAGAGCAAGTACAGGGAGCCCAATTTAGATAAAATTAAAAGGTAAAAAAAATAATAAAAAAAACCGGGAGGAAAAATCGGCAAGATACTGTCCTCCATAATGAAAAAGAGAGAAAAAATTCATACAAATTGCACTGCAAAATTTATTAGCACACGCCTTTGTTTTCCTATATATTCCCCTGTGATATCTAGGTGGTCGATATGTATAAATACTCGTAAGAGTATTTACTTCTTAGTGAATCAATATTGAGAAAGCAAGTTTGTTAGATCGATCGATAAAATAAAAGAGATTCAATAAAAAATTATAAATACTGAATTAAACTATGACAGTTTTACCGTGCATAGCTGCAATACCTTGATCATATTCACAGATAAAGCTTTTAGGATTGTTACAGGGAAGGTCATTCCATAATCCTCTTTCCGAATCTGGGTATTTCTTTGCCATAATAGCACAAATTCCATCTCCTGATGGCTCGTTTGGTTGCCATTTCTCGATTGTCAGGTTTTTATTATTTATCCATTTAAATGCATTACTTTTGTTTTTTAACCCGATGTACCATTCGTCTGTGCTTCTGTTTTGAATCTCTGA